GCTATCAAGATTATGGCAGGCATGTGCCCTTCGTGCTTTTAATGGCAATGTTGGAGAGGTGCTTGTGGTTGGTGTGAATTGCTTTCATTATTTATTTTTAATTACTAACGTAAATAACCATACGTTTTGTATTTTATAAATTGTATATTGTTGACACTACGTATACACAGTTAATAGTCACTTGAAGGATACGTGAACGATGCTTCCTGGGGCAGCGCCCCCCAAGGCCCGGTCCCAGACCAGGCCTGCAATGGATCAAGACTTGATCAACCATGGTGTTTTTGCCAGGTGCATGCAGTCCAACGTACAAACAACAGCCCGGCTGATCAAGAACTGATTTAATTAACTTGGCAAATTCTTCTTGAAGACAGAGGTTTGTTGATAATTACCCTTTAGCACGAAGAGAAGGAGTTGGCAAATCGGAGACCTCTGACACTCACCGAGTTCCTTATTAGAAGTACTCTGCGCCATCTGCCAAGTCTCTTGTTTTCATACGAAGCGATTTCGATGTGTAGATTTGGAACCAGTTCCTCCAGGATTTTCCAGGTGTAGATTACGATTTACCCTACTGGCTTATGTTTCAAGGAATACAGTTGAAGAGATTTCAAGCGTTCCCAGTAGTTCAGATGTTTGACTGCATGTATGCGGGCATTGTATGTTTTCTAGCTGGCTAGTCTCGCCTGCCTTAAAGAGGGCTATTATTCCAGCCAGGAGATAACAAGTGACCTGAAGAATATCAATGGTTCGGCGTCTCTTGTTTTGAAAGTTTTAGTAATCCAACTTTTCGTTTTCCTTGCTGTAGAAATAACATTGTTGCGATCCTTGAATGTGAACTCTTCTGACATCATCACCCCAAGTCTTGCACATGGAACTTTCGCTCTGTTGAATAATCTGAGTTTATCCTGTGCTCCGTTTCAATCTTTGTTTCCTCCATTTTTACCTAACGGGGATTAGCCGTATCTTTGACAGACGCCATTCTCAGAGATTCTGGTATCATTAACAAAGGATGTTGCGATGCTGTAATTTACATCCTTATCTATGTCGGATATAAGATTGAGAAACAAAAGTTGGGCGAGTACTGTGCCGTCAGGAACAGAGCTTTTCACTGTGGCAGCCTCCAACTTCATTGTTTACTACTACTCTCTGGTTCTATTTGTTAAGTTAAATGTCTATCTTCCCGCAAATTTTTGTGCGATATCACACCATGGTCGCACTTATCACAGGATTTTACAGTGCATCAGATTTTATCTTGTCTTACAATGCATCCAAGACTGTCGTAATGGTCTAGCAATTATGAAAGGCAGAAGTTAGCTGCTGTGACGTTTCCGCGCATCACGTCATCCGAGATGACCTCTCAGGGTGTTTAATGAGTCCCTGAACTTGGATATGACTGAGTGAGCAAGTGTACGTACAAGCTTTCAAGGACATGTGTGTACCATGCTTCTGTCTGCAGTTTTCCTGCAAGCCACAAGTTGTATCATTCATATTAACTGTCAATTAATAATATGTATATATAGCCTATATTTTCTTAGTTTTGAAACTGGCATTGCTACTAGAATAGGATTAATTATACACAATCATACATCTCTGTATCTCCACCCTTGTGTGGTGCTTCCTCCCTTGTTGAAAAGAACCTTCACTTACTGAGTGATTGTTAATGTGTGTGTGTGCGCGCGCTGTTAGAAATGTTAGTCCTGTCAGTCGCCTTGAATATTGGTTTCTTGATTTCTTAGACCTCAACCTTTAATTCTCACCCATCAGTTTGTCGGGCCTTGTAACCCCCTCACCAACACTGGTTACTGTCCTAGAGTTCCGAACTTATACCCTTTCACGCTAATTAATCTTCAGTTCTCTCCATCACTGAGGTGTGTAACTTTCACTTTATGACTTGGGCTAACTCCTAACCATTGCCCCCTCCCTCTCTATCTGTCCGACTCCCTCCCTCCTTCCCTCCGTCCCTCCCTGTCTGCCTGACTTCCCCCGTCAGTCTCTCCCTCCCTCGCTTTTACCTTCCGGAGTTCCATCGCCTCTTCCTTCCCCCCCCCCCCCCTTCCCTGCAATGTTCCATCATCGTAAGAGCTTCAGTACGTCAAGTGTCGCTGCCGGGTTCATTACAAGCAAGACGACCCAGTCGACCTTGTCTTTGGCTCTTAATGTCAGTCCATATTTCAGCGGCAGCTTTGGTAAGTGGACGGGCGTGCATTAGGCAGTCTCACTTCCAAAGTTCTCTCAGGTTACTACTGGTACTATTTAAATAGTGGAGTATATCAGTGTAGAGTGGTACCTCTTCTCAGGTACAAACATGAAATGTAATGTTACAGCGAGGAGGAAACTTGTCAGTGGAGATATTTGAGGTCAGTGTGTAGTGGGAATGTTAAAGAACTAAGTTATTGTGTGCTGGTATGGAAGGTGTAAATAAAAGAAATAAAGAAGTTGCTGAGATGGTTTAGTTACGTATAGAACACAGAGCAAGATGTATTGTTAGTTTTAGGAGGGTGTATTTTGATTTGAAATCTCAGACGCAGATCGAAATATAGTCTTTCTTCTATATTGTTTGACCACATATTGGTGTTCCTCGGTTCATATTCATAAATAAATGTATATATTTTATATATATATATATATATATATATATTTATATATATATAATATATATATATATATATTATATATATATTATTCACACTGGCCGATTCCCACCAAGGCAGGGTGGCCCGAAAAAGAAAAACTTTCACCATCATTCACTCCATCACTGTCTTGCCAGAAGGATGTTTTACACTACAGTTTTTAAACTGCAACATTAACACCCCTCCTTCAGAGTGCAGGCACTGTACTTCCCATCTCCAGGACTCAAGTCCGGCCTGCCGGTTTCCTGAACCCCTTCATAAATGTTACTTTGCTCACACTCCAACAGCACGTCAAGTATTAAAAACCATTTGTCTCCATTCACTCCTATCAAACACGCTCACGCATGCCTGCTGGAAGTCCAAGCCCCTCACACACAAAACCTCCTTTACCCCCTCCCTCCAACCTTTCCTAGGCCGACCCCTACCCCGCCTTCCTTCCACTACAGACTGATACACTCTTGAAGTTATTCTGTTTCGCTCCATTCTCTCCACATGTCCGAACCACCTCAACAACCCTTCCTCAGCCCTCTGGACAACAGTTTTGGTGTGATGAATGGTTTGAAAAACCGACATGTTGAAGATTGAGACACTTATGCAGCATATGGGAATCTTTATTCAGGAAACGTTTCGCCACGCAGTGGCTTCATCAGTCCAATACAAAGAGGAAGGCGTAAGGAGAGGAGGAGAATGAGGTAATCAGTCCCTCAACCTGGAGTCGATGTGTTCAGTCCATCAATCTTGTAGAATGTACAGCATAGGGCCGTAGACGTGGCTTATATACTGTAGTGAGGTGACGTGAAGCAGTTGGAGGCGGGGTCATAGTGGTACCATCCACTAGTCGAAGTAGGTCTTCGTCCAAAGGTTGAACAAGTGTTGAAAAATTCTTTGTAACAAGATCCCATGATGCTGCTGTGTCTGACAGTTGTGATGAATGGTTTGAAAAACCGACATGTTGAAGATTGAGACACTTATGCAGCATAGGGGAATCTTTATTCAGGAAACGTTTCGCCACGCAGTGGCTTCATCAGTCCAATACAAAGAGGAAGGCGTAAGGAGAGGAGGAGAATGAGGTAATCAGTCCCTCAACCTGGAGTCGATGTGTTCAGTCCATCAATCTTGTAGAATGTACAGCATAGGGCCCGTAGACGTGGCTTTTTATACTGTAGTGAGGTGACGTGAAGCAGTTGGAGGCGGGGTCATAGTGGTACCATCCACTAGTCGAAGTAGGACGAAGACCTACTTCGACTAGTGGATGGTACCACTAGTCGATGGTACTAGTCGATGGTACCACTACCACCCCATACCTGGGGTGGAAGGAACGCGAGTATTTATAGTCCGGCTGAGGTCAGGTGAAGAATGCTGCATCTGATGATGTACCGAGTGGGGTTGTAGAGTCTAAAAACTTGGGTAGCTTGGAAAGGAGATTGGATAAGTTTGTGAGCAGACCTTCTACAGTGTTCTTATGTGGGATAGCGATGAAGAAGTTTCTTGGCAAGTGGTTCAGCTATGTTATAGAAGCCACTAGCTGAACCACTTGCCAAGAAACTTCTTCATCGCTATCCCACATAAGAACACTGTAGAAGGTCTGCTCACAAACTTATCCAATCTCCTTTCCAAGCTACCCAAGTTTTTAGACTCTACAACCCCACTCGGTACATCATCAGATGCAGCATTCTTCACCTGACCTCAGCCGGACTATAAATACTCGCGTTCCTTCCACCCCAGGTAGTTCTGTTTGTGACTTGAAAAAGCCCACTGTGTGGGCGAAACGTAGTCAATAAAGGATCACATTATACTGCATTTGTGTTTATATTGCCATTGTGTCGGTATTTTATACCATTATTTCCATCTTATGTTCTTATTTTATCTGGAGTTCTATAAGCGTGAAGCGTCGTGCTTACATCTGTGCCAGGTCCAAACATTACACTCAGTGACTGTCGACTACACTATAGATTTTCTTAGAGGGATGGTGTTGATGGATGTTTTCCATCATGTGGGGACAATATTTTCCTTTGATCAAATCTTATTACTTCAGTTTCTTTCATGATTTTGTGCCTTGATGCTGGTGAGGAGGCTCTTAATCCAAGGATCTGGTCTTATCTTTCCCATCCTTGGATCGAACCTGAATGTTTCCCATTCCCTAATTTAGGGCTTCCCCTGACTAAAATAAAAATCTGCTTTAGGTGTTTTAATATCCTCGGATAAGAGTCACACCAGACATGATGTTGACATATCCAGGCACTTATCACTTTGACGGGTTTACCACTTTTACCTGAATATAATAATAGATATGAGTGAAAATAGTTATTGTGTGTAAGTACGAGGTGGCCATTATGGGGCAGTAGTTCTTATCTTGTGTTGTCTTCTGGACAGGGCGACGTCGTCAGGGTACACCGGTGACCTGGGAGCTACTGTGGTGTCTCAGGTGATCTCCCCGTGGCAGGGTCTGGGTCTGGAGTTCCTGCTCACCTTCGTGGTGGTGTTCGTGGTTTTCGCTTCCTTCAACCCCTACCGCAGGAACTTCGGCAACCCCGCCGTTGCCATCGGCCTGGCCTACCTCGCCTGTACGCTTGTTGGGGTAAGTCACCCGCTCTCCGTTTAGTCTTAAATTTAAGACCTCAGTGGGTGCATTTTGTCCGCTCATGTACTTGAATAATTTTTTTTTTCAGAAATGGAGTCTTGGCTCCGTGCCCTGCCTCTGAAGACTCCAGGAAAAAAGTAAAAGTGTATTTTTTTTTTCCAAAAAGTAATCATTTTGGAATAAAGTCAGTATACTTTCATTGTGAGATTTTACTTTTCATCTGTCCCCTGGTATTTAGTCCTCGCATTGCGAAGTCTATTTTAAGTTAGGTTTAATTTATCTAGTCACTCTTCAAGCAGGCACTGCACAAGCACCTAAAGTCGGTACCTGACCAACCGGGCTGTGGCTCGTACGTTGGATTGCGTGCATCCAGCAGTAACAGCCTGGTTGGTCAGGCCCTGATCCACCATGAGGCCTGGTCACAGACCGGGCCGCGGGGGCGTTGACCCCCGGAACACTCTCCAGGTAAATTTATCCTGATACATTCCTCTTACCTTGAACACTATTTGGTTGAAAACCTTTGCATCCTTTCATGCTTCCTATCATGTTTAATCATGTTATGACTTAAAGCTGATGCTTCAAATATGAAAATGAACCAGTTCTCTCTCTCATTCTCATATCCGACATAGACACATAAATCATAGCACTGTATCATCCTTTGCAGACGATACTAGAGTGTGTATGAGAGTGTCATCCATTGATGACACAGTGAACCTCCAAAAAGATATAAACAAAGTATTTCAGTGGGCCACTGATAATATGATGCTCAGGGAGGACATGTTTCAGTTACTCCGCTTTGGAAAAACTGAGGAAATAAAAACTGAAACTGAGTATAAAATAAGCTCGAATCACTCAGTAGAGCGTAAGAGTAATGCGAAAGACCTAGGAGTGATTATGTCAAATTATTTCACCTTCAAGGATTACAACAGTGTCACTCAAAACCACAAGAAAAATGAAAGTCTGGGTAACTAAAAACCTAAAAACAGGGATGCCAAGCCAAGAATGATACTCTTTCGAGTCGCATGTTGCCTCTCGAGGCTGGAGCACTGTTATACTGTTAACAGCTCCGTTCATGGCAGGCGAAATTGTAGATTTGGAGAATGTGCAGAGAATCTTCACTGCCTGCGTATATTCAATCAAGCACCTAAATTGCTGAGAATATTTGAAATCCGTCGATCTGTACTCTGCAATGTAGGAAAGAGAGATACATTATAATCTACACCTGGAAAAATCTAAAATGATTAGTCTCAAATATGCACACACAGATCATTCCCCATGATATATATATTATATATCATGGGGAATCATTATAAGCCTAAGTTACAGTGGCGCTAACTTTTATTGTATTTTTATATATGGTATATTAAAAGGTTAGATCCACATGCTGGTTGCTTGCATGCAAGTGAAGGAGGGTAAACTCGCATGAGAGTAAACATGTCAGGCTGTTGTGTTGAGGGTAATTTTGAAAATAACACACATTATTACATTTCTTGCTTGGTGTCGTGTAACAGGTGGTACCACGCCCCCAGACCACGCCCTCTTGCTGCACCCATGCCCTGTGGGTGCGCCCACGCCCCGCAGAGGAAAGAGGGATGTTCCCTAGGTTCTGTATTATATTCATATAACAGAAAGATTCTGGGTTCGATCACCGGGTAGGGTGAGGTGTATGATCACAGTCTTATACCAGTGCCCACACTGGTCATTGAGGCATCATACCAGTGCCCACACTGGTGGTTGAGACATGCCCACGCCCACACCGTGGCATTGAGGGATGAGGTGGAGGGAGGGAGGGAGGCAAGCAACATGAAGGCAGTGAAGTGGGAGGAACTCGTGGTGAATATTAACACACTTCCCATGTGTCCTCCCTTCTGCTGTCTTCCCCTCCTTCCACCCCCTTTCTTTCATTCCCCTCCTTCCTCCCCCATTCCTTCATTCCCCTCCTTCCTCCCCCATTCCTTCATTCCCCTCCTTCCTCCCCCTTTCTTTCATTCCCCTCCTTCCTCCCCCTTTCATTCCCCTCCCTTCTTTCATTCCCCTCCTCTCCCTTCAAGCACTTATACGAAACAACAAGCAGTGTAAACGGCCTTGCCTAAGCGTGGTTACAAGTACTTCTTTCAGTTTGTTATACACAGACGATGTTTCAGTTTGTTATACACAGACGATGTTTCAGTTTGTTATACACAGACGATGTTTCAGTTTGTTATACACAGACGATGTTTCAGTTTGTTATACACAGACGATGTTCAAACTAAATAAAAGGTGTGATCAGCTGGCCTTGTTGGCCAGGAACCGGTAAAAACTGATAAAAGTTAAGAGGCGGGGCCAGGAGCTATGAATGAACATTTACACACACAACTAGCTGAGTACACGCAGCTCCAAGATGTATTTAGTGCGAGTTGATTACATAATGTGTGTACAGTATATGTAGTGTTTTCATTGATGTATTTTGTCTTGCCCAACAGCTGCCCCTGACAGGCGCCTCTATGAACCCGGCTCGCTCCCTGGGACCTGCTTTCGTTAAGAACAAGTGGGACGCTCACTGGGTGAGTACTACCATTACTCCTTTACCACCACTCATACATGATGCCTTCTAAATAAATGTATACGGCATCACAGTATTTAGTTTTGCATTAAAGTTATTAAATAACATTTATTGGACTTCGTGTGTGGTGTATCGTAACTCCAGCGTGTGTAACTCTGTACTGCTAGAAGCAACAGCCTGTTTGACCAGGCACCCAACAAATAAGTCTAGCCTTGGACCTGACGGCGGGGGTAGAGGAACTTTCGAAAAAAAAAAATCATAGGTAACATTGGTAGGAAAGTGGGTCTTCGAGGGGACTTTGTGCAGACTACCTGGAGTCCTGGTCTGGGACCGGCCCACCGGGATCACCCTACTGGTTGGCAGGTCTTATCAGTGTTGCAATACAGGTCTTGAATACTTATAAGCAGCTCTTACTTCTTCCTTCACTATTGCATTATCAACCAGTAAATCATATATAATTTTAAGTGACTTGGAAGTTGCAAATGGCCTGGACATCTTAAACAAGTGGCAGATTTTTATTGAAATATCAGTTTTGTATGTTATGATTTGTTTTTGTTTGGGGCTGTTAATGTGTGTTAATGATTTTTTTTGTTGATTGTTCTTAGTAAGGAGTTGAAGATGTGTTCGGCTGTGAAACTGAAGTATTCTTGTCAACCTTGTTCACATTGTTTGGCCGTCGAAGCGACTGTTTTATGAGGCTTTCCATATCAAAAGTGGATGGTAACGTAAAGGCATACGGATACTTGAAAGGCCTTAGAACTAGACCCTAAAAGTGTTAACGTGCATTTACGTATATATTCTTGGTTATTTTATGTTACAAGCAAAATGTATAATTTATTTTCACTGATAAGATACCATGACATATTAAAGTTTTCCTTCCTCGCGTAGGTCCACATTTTTTTATGCATCTTCTTACAGCACTGAGAGCTTAGGTAAGGTTTGTCAGGAAACAGGACAAGTGTTTCCTAACGCGGGTCTTAGTCATATGATGACCCACAGCTGGAGTTTTTAGTTATCTGATTGAGGCTTTCCGCTGGCTTACTGGTCCACCCCTTTTAAAATTAGTATACATGCATTACTGAAAGGTGTTCGCAGTATCTGGCTTTGAATGAACTAAACCTTGTTTCTCCTTCAGTGACCTTGTTATCTTAGAAGTTTCCACTGGTATTTTCCCTCTCCTAGGACTAGTGAAAACTTAACTAGGGCACCTTATTTAGCTGCCGTCACTCCAACGACCTCTACTACAGGTATACTTGTACAGCCAACCACCACTAAAACTACACCACTCTCGGAACTCATCAAAGGTACCACCATTAAAACTACAACCACCACCAGCAACCACCACCAGCAACCACCACCAGCAATCACCACCAGCAACCACCTTCCTCAAAATTGAAGGTTTTTACAGAAGCCGTGGTGATGGTGGGTGCAGCGTCGACAAAATTGGTGCTACAGTCACGAAAAGCTTCTGCAGGACAGAGGAACGAAGAGAGTGAGAGTAAAAGTGAGTGAATGTGAAAGTGAAAATGAGTGATGGAGTAGTAGTAGTTTATGTAGGGTTTTGTGAACGAGGGGAAAAAGGAGAGTATAGAACAGTAGTGGATATGTAGGCATAGCAGGACAATGATGAACTTGGAATGGAGACAACAATAAGTAAATTTGTGAGCAAAAACATGAGGGATAGGTAGGAACGAACCGACAAGTCTTGGCTCTTTAGTCACCCATTAAGATTCTGATACAGGAGAAATTAATTAGGCTAATATGACTGATTATCCAGAAGTGAGACTAGAGATAGAAAAAATAAGGAAGTAAAACAATCTGTGCCTCAAAGTCTTGGCGCTTCTCATCCTCCTGGCAGATATACATAAACACGCAGGCTACACTTTGGAATCATCCTCCAAGAAACGAGAAAGTAAAGAACATACTGAAGGAACGGGGCTAAACGAAAACCATGGGTCTGACAATGTATACGCATGTTTACTGATTGCACCAGCACTCGCCCATCAACTAACCAATAATCTAGCCATGAGGGTGTTGAGGGTCCCTTATTACTGTAATACATGTACCGAGTTCACCTGTCCACTACAGCCTCCTGTTAACACCATCTACTATATTCTACTTCAGCATTACGTCCAATCTACGCTTTTCCATCCATAAAACACTCACTCCCGCTCCCGCGTCCTCCCTGGGGAGGTGGGGGAAGGGGTAAAAGGAGGAATTGAGGTAGTACGTGTGTGGGGGGTGTGAGGGTGTTGCAGTGAGAGTACGATACTGTTATTGTTTACATCCGGGTTACTCTTGGTACTTCCCACGTTGCTCTTGGCACTTCCCACGTTGCTCTTGGCACTTCCCACGTTGTTCTTGGCACTTCCCACGTTGTTCTTGGCACTTCCCACGTTGCTCTTGGCACTTAACGCCAGTTTAAACACGACTTTGGCCAAAACCTTATCTTAATTGGAAAACTTTTAATTGAAAATTGTAAATATTTAGACATGCTTTTTTTTTTACTGTGAAGCAGGTGGGCAGAGTTATAATGTGTTTTAAGTTATAATAAGAATATTGCTTCAGTTTTCAAGTGTACCTTGAGCAGGAGTTAGTACGCTACGACTGCTTAGTGATATATTTGTAACCATAATGGTCACAACAGTTTTTAATACCTTCCTTTTAAATTATCCACCGACATTAATTCTTTTCAAGCGGTGACTTGATAATTCAAACGATCCTGGCCAGCCATGCTGCGGTACCTTTGTCGAAGTGCCTGCTCCAAGCACCAACAGACTGGCTATTCCAGTTGACAACTTCAGTCTTCTACAAACTACGATTGGTGTGCTTGGATATACTTGGCTAAACGTTGTGATAAAGTCGGCTATTGCTACTTGCATCCCGTACAACCTGGAAAGAAAAGTGTTAGTTTCTTTGGTAATCAGTTTACGCTGCGACTCTGGCTATGCGAGGTGCTTGGTTACCTGTAGTCGTTCCCGAGGGCTACCAATTCCTTTGTCCCAATAAATGTAAGGCTCGCCTACATGCCTATTACTATACCAACCACGCTACCAGTATACAACAACGCAATGCAAAATTCCGCCCAGACTGCGAATTACAGTGATGACAGCAGTGGGAATTTAGTTTAGCCATTTGTAACCATGCCCAAGTCTGGCTACTACATCAGTCTGTTTGTAATAAAGTTGGTAGAATTACCGACAGTATGTAATGTAAAAGGACACAAGTGCTCTCAATAGTAGTACAAGTTCCTAGTAACCAGTTACCAGTAACCAGTGTACCAGTAGATGACTCACTACCAACCGTCTGTGTGAATCACTGACTGATTATTCATATTGCTGCTGACCATAGCAGGATTTCAAACACCCTCACCCTGTAGACACTTGTGAGTCAGTCGTAGTTAGGCAGCAGAGAGAGACAGGTCGGCTGTTGGCGCTTTCCATACTTCCCGTTATATATTATATGTACTACCAGCCTACGTGAGTATTTTTACCCATCCACGTATCGAAAACCCACATGACCAAATGGTGGCACTGGGTGGGCGTGTTTTAAAGGGTATTTCAGACGTTAGAAGACTGTGGGTTGCCGGCAGGTCAGAGGTGAACCGTCTCAGCCACCTCCAGCTCCAGCCTGCAAGCCATTTGTCATGAGGGTTTTCGATACGTGGATGGGTAAAAATACTCACGTAGGCTGGTAGTACGTATAATATATAACGGGAAGTATGGAAAGCGCCAACAGCCGACCTGTCTCTCTCTGCTGCCTAACTATGACTGACTCACAAGTGTCTACAGGGTGAGGGTATTTGAAATCCTGCTATGGCCAGCAGCAATATGAATACAGTCAATGATTCACACAGACGGTTGGTAGTGAGTCATCTACTGGTACACTGGTTACTGGTAACTGGTTACTAGGAACTGGTACTACTACTGAGAGCTCGGCGACGCTAACGTATGTCGTCCCGACATACAACTAATACAAACTAGAGACGGCAGGTGTACGGCTTGGGCTGATTCTATACAATGTCAAAGTACACAACAGTTGAACGTTATAACATAAGTAGAATATTGGAATGGAAGCTTAGGCTGGTTGACTGGCTTAACCCACGAGAATGGCTGACTGGAAGACGTGTAACGATGCACACAGCATGAAGGAGCAGGTGGATGACAGGAGACAGGCTGGATGATAGGCTGAGGCAGGTTGACTAGCGTTCACTTCCACTGTCTGGCTTATTGACTGGCTTAATTGCAAAATCCGGGTCAACCCCTCGGAGATTGAAGCAATTAGCACATGAACTAAGCCAGGAAGCTTGAAAAACGGCTGCAACAGGCTTGCAGGCTGGAGCTGGAGGTGGCTGAGACTGTTCACCTCTGACCTGCCGGCAACCCACAAACAGTCTTCTACGTCTGAAATACCCTTAAATCCAGCCCACACTGTGGTTGCCACACATTTGTCATGTGGGTTTTCGATACGTGGATGGGTAAAAATACTCACGTAGGCTGGTTAGTTACATATAATATAACGGAAGTATGGAAAGCGCCAACAGCCGCTGTCTCTCTTGCTGCTACTACGACTGACCCAAGTGTCTACGGGTTGAAGGTGGCTGTGGCGCTTTCCATACTCCCGTTTTTTATAGTTACTACCAGCCTACGTGGTATTTTTACCCATCCACGTATCGAAAAACCCACTATGACAGTGCAACTAATGTGACATTTTTATTGTGGCAAAGTTTCGCTCTCCAGGAGCTTTGTCAAGCTCCTGGAGAGCGAAACGTTGCCACAATAAAAATGTCACATTAGTTGCACTTGTCCTTTTACTTTATATCAGTCTGTTTACATTGCAACTTAGCCCACGTAAGACTGTCATTATTACACTTATTATAGTGTTGAGTTTGTATCTGAGCTGCCCCTTTCTTCCCCCTCATGTTTGTCTTGGGTTTAGCTCCTCCAGTAGAGGGGACGGGAAAGGGGGGAGTGAGCGGAGAGGGAGTTGAAATATCGGGAG